GAGTCCGTTCCAGGATACAGATGGGTGAGACCTGTGGGCGAGGCCCGCATGTTGGTAGCAGTAAAGGTGAGACCGAGGAGCAGGGTTGCTAAATAGTATGGTTTGGGTGAGACCCGTGGGCGAGGCCCGTGTGACAGTAGTAAGACAGATGAGACTAGAGGGAGGGACCTCTCTAGAATATAGTCGGGTGAGACTAGTAGGCGAGTCCCACATGATTATAGTAGTACAGGTGGGACCTGCTAGAGACCTTAGAGTTAAGATGGGCAATCGAGGATCCCAAGACTCATAGAAACATAGTGGCAGGGTAGATAGAGCAGTTTGGATAACCGAAGTTTCCTTCGGGGGTCGTTGGGAGCGACTGAGCGATTGAGTTAGGGTTCAATAACCAATAAGAGTCTTGTAACCTAGTTGAGGGCAGATTAGTTGGGACCAGGGTGGTCTCTATTCATCTGGAAGGCGGATAAGAGTCAGCAAAAACTTCAGTCAGGAGTAAATAATGATAAGAGAAGTTTGGAATGGAGTAGCTAGTTGGTTGCGAAGTGTTGCGCCTCTCACGACAAGGTTGAATAATCTCAGAGGGAAGGGTTTGACCCTGCTGCGTAGCTCTCGTATGAGTCTAACAGTTGCAGATGAACCTTTTACTCGAAGGATTATCTGATCCATTCGTTGGGATACAACGTAAGCACCAGGACAGAGTAAGAGGAAGCATTCAGTAGTAGTCAGTGAAGTAACCAGCACTGGAGGTAACTGGAGATGTAGTTACAGCAAAGATATGACCTTCACATAGTTAGAGAAGGTAGTTGTTTAAGGGAATTTTCCTTATGAAGGCTAGCAGACGTGCAAGGAAGAAGGGGTAAACCCCTAGGATGTTCAGCATGGGTACTCGGGGAGTACCGCAAGGAAGGTCGGTTAGATAAGAGTCACGTTCCAGGATGATTGGAGATTAGAGTGCTCGCGAGGTATTATCGGCAAGGATTAGTTATAACAGGATAATCGGGCGGATGGCCGATGGAAGAGATTCTGCGAGAATCGGACCCAGTGAGAAACGTATCCATATAATAGGGATATGGTAAGAAGACTGCAGGATAGCTGGCAGTAGCAGACTTCGAGGACAAATTTTTGAATAAGTGGGAGAGAATTGTAACACCCCTAACCCAGCAGCACCAAGAAAGGAAAAGAAAACCTCAAATTAAGGAAGGGGCTCGTTGAGTAGATGGAGTGACTCGATGAGTAGGAGCGCAGATAGTGTCGTGAGTTAAGTGACATACTCGACGAATCAGAGGTCTGACTCAGCGAGTTGGTCAGGTTTTGGGAAAACCCTAAATGGGGCCTTGTACCCTATTTAAGGAACATTATAGCCTCTCTTCAGCCTCCATGATACTCCCTCAAGTCGAGAACAAAACCCTAGTGCCTTCCATGTGTTGTAAACCGTTTTAAGGGTTCTTAAGTGTTCTTGAAGCTTTGAAAAAGAAGAAGGATTTGGAGATCTCATCCTCATCATTTTCTTGTAATCAAGTTCTCATCTTGACCTTTACTTTGATAGATCTTTTCTTTGTCATTTTTGGGGGGTTTTTGGTCCAAGAACCCTAGCATGTGAGGAATAGACGTCCCAAAGGATTATGTCTTTAGATCTAGAACCATTGTGGGTTGTTATGGCATTAAGGTGCAAGCTTTATGCCATAGGAGACCCAATGCAAGCTTATGGGATGTTGTTTTGGCCTTTCTAGCCCAAAAGGCCCATGTATGGAGGAAAAAGGCAAGATCTTTGCATGGTTATGAGGTGGTTGGGTCCTGATCTGTCTATGGGTACTTGAGTTTGGGGTATGGTGGCTTGTGAACCAAGATCTATTTCCTTAAGAGTTAGGGTTTACATGGAAACCCATTAAGTGAGGGTATTAATGGGTAAAGTTGGAAACTTTACCCTCAATAGGTCATTTCCATTTAGTATTCGGAGTTTTAATCTTGGATATGGAATGGAAGGGCTTAATCCATTAAGTTAGCCCAAAAGACAAAGGAACTCGACGAGTCCAGGGAGAACTCGACTAGTTGGAGTGGGTTGTCCCGAGTTGAGTCGCGTTAGAACTCGGCGAGTCAGAGAATGACTCGGAGAGTTGACTTGGTTTATCATGAGTTGGATCAGTTAGGGAACTCGGTGAGACAAAGGAGAACTCGATGAGTTGGTTCATGATTTTAGTATTCTGAGCTTAAGAACTCAGCGAGTTGATGGAGCAACTCGGCGAGTCCAGTAACCTAAAAGTGTTGACTTTGACCGTGGACCATTGACTTTGACTTTGACCAAAGTTTGAATTAGTTTGACTTCTGGAGGACATTTTGGGACTAAGTGTTATGTTGGTATTGGTAGCTCGGGGAGCTAGAGGAGCATCGGTTCGGGAAGTTGTCAGATAGCAGTCAGGAGGGTATCAACAAGAGTTTCAGCAGTGAAAGGTGAGTTGCTTTTGTGTGAATGGGTCTAAGGCCACAATGTCGGCCCATGTAGTTATGGGTAGGAAGACCTGGGGGTTAGCCCTATGCATAGTATGCTAGTATGATAATCTGGACCAAGGTCTAATGTCGGGCGGGAGCCCAAGGACTGTTTTCATGATAGATTATACTTGTCGTCTGTGTGATACTTGTATGTGCGTGGTAGGGAGGTGAGTGTGGGTGAGGTCCCGTATCTCACCACTAGCAGAGTACAGACAGAGACCGTATCTTATTAGTAGTAGATCAGGGGTGAGGCCTGAGATAGGAAAACAGTGAGTGTGGGCTGGGGGCGTATCTCACTAATAGCAGGAGCTTGGATGGGATTCCATGACTCATATTCAGCAGGATAGAGGCGAGGCCCAAGTGCCTTAGAACATGAATACAGTAGGGTACGTTCAGTTTATTTGTTACATATTATGGTTATATGTAGTATGTGCTTAGCGAGCGGGGCCTAGAGACATGCGGGGCCTAAGAGAAACAGATATGTATCCGAGCGGGGTTGTTGTAGCGGGCAAGGCCCAAGGTAGCGGGTGAGGACCGAAGTAGCGGGTGTGGCCCAATATTTGAAGTATATGATTATCCAGGGTATGTGGTAGGTTGGGGAACTCACTAAGCTTCGTGCTTACAATTTTTAGTTTTGGTTTCAAGTACTTCCGGTAGCGGAGGGAAGAGCTCGGGATGATCACATGGAACACACCATTGATTATTCAGCCTGGGATGTTTTACTCTGATAATAGTAATGTTTTGGAGCAATGAGATTTATCTTTTGACAGAATGATTTGATGACTTGTGGTTTTATTATTAAACTTAAACGAAATTTTTAGACTTTATTTTTGGGACGTTACATAGCCGTAAACACTGAGCTGTATACGGTCCTAGACATAAAAATACATTTTCCTAGAAAAGCAAAGTATAAACCATAATTTTAGACCCAACAGAAGTACTTGTAGATATTGTGTTATTCGAGTTTTCATCATCTCTAGAAAACTTGTCTTCAAAGAATTCCACATCTCTGGATTTTATAACAACACCATATTCATCATCTTATAATCAGTAAGCCTTGTTGTTCTGAGCACATCCAATGAATACACTCTTCATAGCTCGAGCTCCTAATTTTGATGAAATACATTTTTCCTCCTCAAGTAAGTATTCCATTTAATTCATATATATATATATATATATATATATATATATATATATATATATATATATATATATATATATATATCAGAATGAATCAACTCAAGTAATAATGTATTTCTCTTAACTAATGGAAATGGTTTCTTTATAAACTTCGATTTCACAAAAGTTTCATTTTTTTTTTTTTGCAATGTTTTTAACATTAGTGTGTTCTAAGCATTTATTCCATAAAGAAATTGATCAAACAAAGTAACCAAAAAAGTTTACTTCTTTCACATTAGCAACCAATCCACCAATTACATCATTACTAGCAACACTAGACAGACTTGCAACACTCGTACCATTACTATTAACACTTGGTCCACTCGCACTACCCTCATCACTAGGGCACAAATGATACATCCATGAACAATTGTTCGTCCTCCCAACATATCTTCTGTCCTTCGCGATTACACTCCTGCCTTTCTCAAGCTCCATTTTGAACCCACCCTTATCAAACTTGTTCGTAAAAACCAACCCCTTCAAGATAGTAGTAACATGAATAACATCACGAAAGGTAGCTCATTCACCATATGTAAACTTCAAATGGACATCACCTCTTCCTTGAACTTCAGCTCAGTGACCATCAACACAGATAAATACCATTTCTAGTGGCATTGGATGGTAAGTGCAGAAGCTCTCTCATTGCCCATAAACATGCACAGTGGCTCCAGTGACCACGTACCATCCTCAAGAACATATTGCTCTTGTAAGGGAAGAGATCATGAAAATATCTCCAAGGTTCATACTTGCCACCATATCAGTCAATTGCTCAACTACATGTGCTACCAGTCCTAATTTGCGATCTTTACATGCTCTCGCATAGTGTCCAATCTCTTTGCAAACAAGGCAAGGTCCGACCCTCTTAGGCTTTGAGTTAGAATTCGAATGACTCGATTTCTTGAAGATATGTTTCTTAGGTCCCAAGTTCCTTTTATTTTTCCCCCCAAGCTTGATCTTATGACCAGAATCCCCAGCTGACACATGGTGCACAATCGATGCGACTTTACCATGCTTGTCCCTTATACGAGTTTCATCCTCAATGAAAAGGTGTTTCATCAAATCGTCCAAGGAGCACTCCTCGTATTTATGGATCATTCTCTTAAATAAGTCTTTCCACAAGGGTGGTAGTTTTACGATGATCCCACCAACCTGAAAGAGTTCTAGTATCGAGATGGAGAGTGCGTTCAGCTTGTTGACCATGACCTGGAGTTCATGCACTTACTCGATGATAGGTTTCTTATCAGCAATTTGAAACCCTCGGTACTTAGACACTAGGTACTTGTTAGTACCTTCCTCGTGTGTCTTGTACTTGAGTTCCAAAGCACTCCCTAACTCTCTCAGATGTTTGATCGGCGCGTAAAGATCAGAGAGTCGATCAGACAGTGAGCTCTTGATATGACCCACACACAATTCCTTATCTTCCTATGAAGAGCCCTTTGCTTTTCCAGATCAGAGATGATCATTGGATGCACAGTTTTCCCCTCCTCGTGAATTGGATTAGCATGAATTAGGTTCAGTTTTGGGTCCAAAACATAGGCGAGCTTCAGCACATTAAGCATAAATCTGACCTTGTCGGTCCAACGGGTGTAATTCTGACCATCGAATCGGTCAAGCTTGGCAACTCTTGGTTCATGTAGTGGAGACTAGCAGTTTATAAAAACCTTTAAGATTGTTGTAAATCAGACCTAATCGACACGCAAGGAAACCGACAAATAATATTGAGAATTATATATCAATTAGTTGCGAATAATAAATCCAATTATTATTATTCTGATCACCAAGTTTCGTCCAGAAACCAGATCAATCATTCTCGATTAGATCTGATTATTAGAAAGGTAGAAGAAGAGTGTCATGTTATTGAACGAAAGTAAACGCGAGACATAAAGGTAAAACCGACATGTTGACGACTGATCTTGATTTTAGAGAACTGCATGGATCGGACTCCTGTCCTTAAAGGTTTTTACTTCGTTTTTATTTGTTGTAAGCAACAGAGTAAAACCCCAAGATTTAATGCAGATTTACTAAGTTTCCAACAACAATGGAAAATGATAAAGGCAAAGTGAATACTCAAAAAGATGGAAGAAATCATCAATAGAGGGAGAGAGAGCTTTGAAATTTTTGTGTGTATTGAATATGACTCCATGAGGGTTGTATTTATAGGTACCGAAACCCTAGAAGACGATAAAGGGCCCTATTGAATATGACTCCATGAGGGTTGTATTTATAGGTACCGAAACCCTAGAAGACGATAAAGGGCCCTCATAGACCAAACCCTAGAAACCCTAAGGCAACGCCTTGCTCTCCAAGCAAATCATTTTCTAGGCCTTCCAGAATATTCAGTTACCTTATCTACGAAGTCAATGTTGGTCAACCACTTGACTGGATCGGTCCCGAACTCGCCAAAAATAAAAGGCCTTCAGCTCCCAATGGCCAATGCATCATGCCAAGTGCATCTAAATCACACACTCGCAGTGTCAACTAGTGGTAGGCTAGGCTAGGCACGTATGGGCTTGACTCATTCTTTTGATCCACTAAAGATTTTAAAGACCTATAAAGGGAAATGGTTTATAAGCTCACAAAAAGTTTCTTCCCCCACCAATGTAGGGTAGAGAAAACTTGTAACTTGCAATATTTCCTCTATAATTTCCAACAATAAAACGGATAAAAAAAACCTCAAACTAAAGGAATTTTGATAATATCGGTTGATGGATACATCCGTTTATGTGTGAATAGAGATGTGACTATTTTTTTCACGTGTAACAATATTTTGTTTCTTGAATTTCTTTGTGCTTTATGATAGGATCATAACCCTTCGTTTTCGTACATAACAATTTTTTTTCCATAAACAATTATTGTGTTTTAAATGTTCTATTTATACGAATCACTTTTCTTTCCAAAGCATCACAATGGTTCGCTTGTAAGTTATAAATTGTGAACAAAACTATCATGATTAAAAGATAACTAACACAATTAACAGTCTTGGTTAACCTTCTAACACTATCTACATACTAAATTTTTTAGGAAATTAAGACATTCTTTTCAAACAAGATTAACATTTAGTACTCCTGTCTTTTAATAACGAGATAATGACGTACTGACAATAGCAAACATAAATATGATTCCACACTAATTGATTTTCATCCACTTATCGTGACGATAATGATTCGTTGACGACATATAACAAAACATAAGTTCACACTACGAGAAGACAAAACAAAAATCACCAAATATTATTATTTTCATTATTTTAAAAGTATAAATAAAAGTTATAAAATATCAGTTTTGTTTGAAGAAAACACATCTGCTAACGGCCCACCGCCCACGTAAATGCTCCACAAACGAAGGAGTAATAAGTAATTGCACTTTACATACATGCTTGAAAAGGGCAAGACATGCAGGCTTGTTACTTGGACCAAGTCCATGAAACCACGTTTTCGCTTTACAAATGAATGAAAATGAAGTGAAACAATATGTAAATTAAATAATTTTCAAAAATGTGTATAAATAAAATAGACAAAACTTCAAAAATGAGCCATGTGGTTTTCGAAAATATCAAGTTTAATCCCTAAGTTCAAAAAACCTTACAAATGGTCCCTGTGGTTTCAAAACTTTTAACAAATGATCCTTTTCGCTAACTCCGTTAACGTTTGGCCGTTAAGTGAAGGTTATTTCTGTTATTTTACAAAAGAGGGACCATTTATGAAGTTTTTTGTTATTTAAAAAAATATAATTATTTAATAAAGGGTCTCACCCTCTCTCTCTCTCTCTCTCTCTCTCTCTCTCTCTCTCTCTCTCTCTCTCTCTCTTCTTCTTCTTCTTCTTCTTCTTCTTCTTCTTCTACAACTGATGGAACAAAAAAACCCAACACCCTCCTGTGCCTTCACCCTTTTACTTGTTGACCAGCCAAAGGCCAAGCCTTCTCTTCTTCATCTCGGTGGTACCAACTCGAGCATAAACAACACCACCACCACTCTCCCTCCCGAGGACAACCCAAACCTCCAACACCAATGAGAAACCTTCATCACCACCTGCCATCTTCCTTGCCCCACTCTCTCTAAGTTCACACCGATAAAACACAATGGAGGGGCAGCGGAGCTGCCACAACACACCACCCATCACCGCCACTCGCTGCTCCGCCATCCGTTGACATCATATTTGCTGCAGGTGTGAGTTTTCCGACCACCACCATATACCCCTTCCTCTCGTTTCTTCTTACAACCTCGTGTTTGTCTCCCTATCCAGGTTCCATACATTTTTGAGGTTTGAAAAGGATTGTTCATAATAGGGGCAAATCAAAGATGGAGATGGGGATTACCGAAGTAGAGAGAGGAGTAAGGGTGGAGAGGGCTATTTACCTTGTCTTGGATCTGCAAGACGAGAAAGATACGAGAGGAACAGAGAGAAAATGGTTGCAGTCGACCCATCACACGCTTTTGAAGCCACGACATCTACGAGAGGAACAGAAAGAAAACCGGAAGGACCAAATGTTAAAAGTTTTGAAACCATAGGGACCATCTGTGAGGTCTTTTGAACTTAAGGACCAAACTTGATATTTTCGAAAACCACGGGAACCATTTTTGAAATTTTGTCAATAAAATATAATTTTTTTTTGATAAAAATGGGTCAAATATGTTGTTAGACGTTTGAAATTTGAATGCATTCCAATGATTTTTACTACGTTTTAGTTTCAACTATTCATATCTATGTACATATGAGAGTGATAGATATTATGTGAATGTAAGTTGAATTCCGAGCGTTTGATTGAAAGAATGAATAATTCTTATCTATTATTAAGTATTTAAAGTTTACCTAAACTAAAGGGAATTAATAATGGATAAGAATTTATTGTAATTTATCGGAACCATTAAATCTCTGGATAAGCTTTTAGAATGAATTTATATTCACATAATATTTGTAATTCTTAAAATAACTTAACCCTTCAAACATAATATGGTTATTGGTTAATGCAATAAAAATCTTTAACTTTTTAGGTTTTTGTCCTTTTATCCAACATTGAATTTTATGTTCGTTTTTACCTCCAAAAAAAAAATGTTTGGTTTTACCATTTTACCGGTGATAACAACTTTTCGAGGTTATCACTAAATTAACTTTGCAAAAAAAAAAAAAAAAAAAAAAAAAACCCTTAAGTTTATATTTTCTTTACATTTTTATCCTTAGAAAAATCGTTTTTATATATGAAAAAATATTAAATTAAATATTGTGTTTACGACTTTTATTAATGTTATTTCTTATTGCGTGGTTATACCATTTAAAATGCAAAAAAAAATATTTTTAGAATTATTAATGTGTATTTAATAGATTTAGTTTTTTAGAAGTATAAATATATATTTTTACACACATATATATATATATATATATATATATATATATATATATATATATATATATATTAAGATTGAACAAATTTTTTGCGTATAAACATGTTTATATATATATATATATATATATATATATATATATATATATATATATATATATATATATATATATATATATATATATGTGTGTGTGTTTGTAGTTATAAAAACATATTAATTTGTTTTCTTTTTTTTTACATTTTAACGGTTTAACGAGGAAAAAAACTCATATATATATATATACATATATATATATATATATATATATATATATATATATATATATATATATATTGGGTAAAAGCGTAAAAGAAAATTATAAACTTAACGGTAAAAATGCAAATAAAAAATCAAACAAAAAAATCTATAAATTTAAGAGTTTTTTTTTTTTTTTTGCGAGGTTAATATAATGGTAACCTGAAAAAACCTGTTATCACTGGTAAAAATATAAAATCGATCGTTTTTTGGAAAATATAAGGGTAAAAACATACATAAAATTCAAATTTGGGTAAAACCGATAAAAACCTAAAAACTTAAGGGTTTTATGACATTAACCCAACATATTATACCCCTTTACATAAAAGTAAAATATTACTCATACCAACCAATTTCCTAGTAAACGAGTTAAAAATGATCTAGGTAGTTAGGGGTCACCGTTTTAGTTATATCCAATGGGTTGTTTGTTTTTTTGGTTGCAGATCTGCGAAATCACTTTTGTCTGTGTCGCGCAGACATATATCCTCGCAGTGTGTTTGTTGTTTCGATGTGCGCAAATCTAAAAATGTATTTGCAAGGTCTTCACACATAGACATGGACTAGCCTCTTCTAAGGTCTTCGAAGTGCTTTTAACCTAAAAAAAAGCATGCCTTTTGTTTTCTTTCTATTCGGTGCCTCTATTCTTCCGAACTTTCCACCCACCATCAACGCCTCCATGCCTCGCTTTAGCACTGTCTTCGTTGTTCATCATCTCCAGTCAACACCACCGCCCGCCACCACCAACCTATCTTATCGTAGGCAAATAGGCAAACACCTCATTTCTCATCACAGGCGTAAAGCTCCTCTACGCGATGAATAGGTTTGTTTTCTTTTCTCTTAGTTTTTTTAGTTCTAACATGAAATTGATGATTAATTTTGCTTGAAAACTCTCTAGTGTACTGAAATATGTTGTTTAATTTTGCTGAAATTGTTTTATGTTGCTTAAATTTGTTGTTGTATGATGGAAATCTAAAAATCTGGTTGAAAATAAGTTTTCTTGCTTAAATTTCTTGTTAAATGTTGTTGAAAAACAATGTTCCTTGGTGTCTTTTGCTGGAAATTTCATAACATTGTTGATAATCAAGTTTTTTGTTGCTGAAAATATGAAAATAATGTTGGAAAATCCATAACATTGCTAAAAATCAAGCTTTTTCATTCTAAAAATATGAAAGTAGTGCTGAAAATATGAAAATAATGCTAAAAGTTCCAAAATGTTGTTGAAAATACTCCTTATTGCTGAAAATAGTCATTATATGCTGATTTTTTTTTTTTCAAATGTTTATGTTATGCATGTTTTGAATTAATGTCTGTTGCAATACCTTTTGAAATCAGATTTATGAATGTTGCAATACCTTATGAAATCTGATTTATCTATAATATATTGGTTATTAGTAATGGAAGAGAAACAACAATGGACCATTGATAATTTAAAATGCTTATCGGATAATTGTATTGAAAAAGTAGAGAATGTGGATAAAAAATGATTGAGTTTGCACAAAGATTCATGGATTAGGCTTGGAAGAGTTCTTAAGGAAAAATTTCCCATGGATTTGTCTAAAAAACAAATGAAAAACACATATGACAATCTGAAAGCCAAATACACAGGATTGCTATATATGAAAAACAAAACTGACAATATATTTATAATTCTCAAACAAACACTTTTAACTTAACAGCCGAGGAGTAGGATGGTTTTAAGAAGGTTGTATATTTGTGTGTATTTGTGTGTGTGTATGTGTGTTTGTACATATATATATAACAACTGAGGAGTGGGATGATTTTAAGAAGGTTGTATGTGTGTTTATGTGTGGGTGTGTGTGTGTTTGTATATATATTGTAACACCCCGAATCGCAGGTATGAACTTTACAGTTTTATTTTCATTTTTAAAGGTCTACTCGACCAGTTGGATCCCCTGACTCATCGAGTAGGAACAAATTTGGCCGCGTGTTTTAAGTGACCAACTCGACGAGTTGGAGCTGGATGATGAAACCCTAATTTTTGGGGTTTTGCATCCTATTTAAAGGGTCATTAGCCTCCCTTAGCTTCCCTTACAGCCCCCTTTGAGCTCAGAAACCCTAAACTGTGTTTTCTCTCCATATTTTTGTGTTGTTAAGCTTGGAATGATGATCTTGGTGAAAGGAGCTTGAAGATCAAGAAGTATGAGGCAAGGAACATGTGTGGATCTAAATTCTACTCCAATTTAGCATCACTTGAACGTAACAAGTCGTTACCTTGATCTCTTTCTAGCTATATGTTTCTATATTGAGGTTTGGGTGGCATTTTAGCATGTTGGTGTTTCATTTCAGGTGTTGGACCATGATCTGAAGTTTCAACTTCAGATCTAGGCTCATCTTCGTCCTTATAATCATAAAGCTTCAGCCTTTAGCAAGATAATGCCTTTTCCTTACCTAGAACCTCTTCTTTAGCTTGATTTGGGCCATTAGCACCTTGCATATACGTAAAGTTTGCAACTTTACGTAAGAAGTATGCCTTAGGAGCTTACATCTACAATATGGAGCTTTGGGGTGGCTTAAAATCATCTAAATGGAGAAAGGACTGAAGGGAATCGATGAGTTGCATAGTCAACTCAGTGAGTCCAATGAAGATTAGTCTTAAGGGTTTCTGCATGAACTCGACAAGTCAGCAAGATGACTCGACGAGTCAGTTAGGTTTTTCTCGACTTTTGGACATACGTGGACTTAACAAGTTATCTGGAAACTCGACGAGTCAACTGGGGGGTTTCACAACTTCTCAAGTTTTGGAAGGACTCGACAAGTCAGTGAGCTGCACTCGACGAGTTGGGTCAACATGGACTGTTGACCTTGACGTTGACCAAGGGTTGACTAGTTAACTTCTGGGGGTATTTTGGTAAAGTAGAAATTTATGGAAATGGTCTTATGGTAAATATAGTTGGTGGAATACGTGGCTGTGATTCGAGAGTTGAGCTTATCACTTCAATTCGATAGTTGTGAAGTGAGTTATCCTCACTATACTAAGGGGTCAAAGGCACCAATGTCGGCCTATTGGATCTGATATCCTAGTAGTTGGTATTATGTTGAGTATGAAATTGGTTATGCATGCTAATTGTTATGCCAGTTTGGTAGATCTGTAGGACTCTTGTGTTACTATCTAATTATCTGTATGTACATTAGTTATATTATTGTTGACATGTTATGTGGGGTAGGTTGAGGTTGTATTGCTCCGTGCGGTAGCCAACAAAGCCTAGAGCATTCCAGATACAAGCTGAGGGCCAGGCAGGGCATGCCAGACTGGTACTGTGGGCTCAAGAGCATTCCAGATACGAGCTGAGGGTCGGGCAGGGCATACCAGACTCGTACTATGGGCTCAATGGCAAGCCAGATGTGAGTTGTGGGCCCGAAAGGCAAGCCAAACTCACACTGTGGGCCTAGGGGTAATCCAGTCTGTAAAGGTGTGGACCCATTACATGTTGTTATTTATATATGTGCTATTTTCTATGTATTGGTATTTTGGGGGAACTCACTAAGCTATCGGTTTACAGTTTTGGTTTTGGTTTCAGGTACCTCAAAGGATTGCGGGAAGGAAAAGGCGTGATCGCACAGCTCCCCACACTTTATGACTATGTTTCCGGGATACTCTGATATAGAACTGTTTTGAAAACAAATTTGTAATAACTGTTGGTTTCTAAATGATTTTAAAAAGTTTAAATTTGGCCTGATTTTTATGGATGTTATATATATATACATACATACATATATATATATATATATATATATATATATATATATATATATATATATATATATATATATATTAAACATTTATGTTTGAAGTTGCCAAATATCATTATACTAGTTTTTGTTATATTTGGGTTTAAGGGCATTCGACCAAAGATTATTTCATTGAAGATAATTCTAGCGCCTTTTCTAGGTCTTTGTGCACATCTTTTTGATGGAATTAGTGTCATTGGTAATTTCAAGTATTACGCAACCTAAACATCATCAGGAGTCAGATCAACTTCTTGTCATGTTCCACTACTTCAAATTACAGGCACCCCTTTTCTTACAATAGATGATGATGATGACACTTCCCATCATGCTAGTAAGCCTGTATGTGAGCCTTCACCTTCTATTGCTTCACATTCTACTCGTTCACCATCTACTACCTTTAGTAACCCAAACAAAATGGCTAAACCCTCAACTCCTAGAGCTCCTAGTGCCTCACCTGATGAACCTTCTATTACTGATGACGATTTAGCATCTGAAATGAAAAAAGATCTACAACATTTGACTAAAGGTTATACAATTCCTCAATGTTTATAGAACTTAGAGTTGCTTGAGTTAGGCCCTACAGATCTACACTTTATTGTGTATCGTATTTTTTTAAGGGACCGTGAATATAAGAAAGATGTGGATGACTTTGCCTAATGTTCCCGAGATATTAAGAGGATGGATCGAGATGACAGGTACAAGTTTAGGAGTTTTAAGGGACGGAAAGATTGTCCAATGATTTTTCTTGTGTTGAAACCATTGTTGAAGGGTTTTTTAGCTTGTGTTTGAACTGTTTGTTAGGGTCTTTTTGCTTTTGTTGGAACTATTTTGTTAATGTAATGTTTTTTGTTACTTGAAATTTGAAATATGGTTAATGTAAAGTTTTTTCGCTATTTGGAATATTGTTAAGTGTTGTTTTTTTGCTACTTGAAATTTGAAATATGGTTAATGTAATATTTTTTTGCTACTTTGAATATGGTTAGGTGTTATTTTTTCTACTATGTGAATTTGGTTAATGTTATGTTTAAAAGTTCTACTTTTGTTGATTAATAGGTTCATAATGGATAACGATCAAAAGATAATTCTCGTAATTCTTATATACTTGTATGTTCATTATTTTTGGAAGGGAGGTGTGAAACGAGTGCAAGACAATGATTCGGAAATGACGGGACATGAATACACATTAACCACATTCACATAGCAAAAAAAACAAAACTTAACCATATCGCAACATAATCCTTTAACATATGTGGGACAATAGACTTATTGCAACGTAATCATTTATAATGTGTTGAAGTACTATGCATATCTCGTGAATCTTTTTTCCGACTATGTGCTCATTTTACAGTAAATTAGTCGTTAAATGATAGCATACATGTATCGATTGAGGAAAAAGATGAATATGTTTTTTATGATGATCGGTCATAATCAACGTTACGTGATCATCAAACGGAGATTTCAACAATAAAAGCAAACAATTCATAAAAAAGTTTGTGATGTGTTGAAAAAATATTTTAAGTTTATAAAATCAGTTTATTTAAAATTTAGTTTATTTTAACAACATGCATACGTTAAAAAACAGACTTCTTATTGCAGACTATAGACGCTTGGTCCACCTCTTTTATTGTAGAAGTTTGCATATGTGGTCCACAGATAGACATTTTATCTCTAAAAAACAAACAGCACATTATTCTTGAAGTTTTGGGTTTTTTCATATTCATGGTCCACCAACAAACTTTACAGCAATATTATTGTTCTTGTATAAGAATCAACTATGATAGTACGAGAGTCTGTCTATGAGTCTCCAACTTGTAGAGACTGAGATTATGTGTACTTAGCACCACCATTTATGTTGGTTTGTGAAATCATTCCCATAATCAGGGGCGGAAGGCTATTAGGGGGCGGAAGGTTGTTAAGGCCTGGGGGGCCTAGGGATGACAAAAAGCTCAAACCCAACATGGAAACCGAAACCCGATCATTTCGGGTCGAGTAATGGGTCGTTATCGGGTTCGGAGCAGGGTGTGGGTTATCCTCACCCCGACCTGTCCCGTCCCGATTATATATATATATATATATATATATATATATATATATATATATATATATATATATATATATATATATATATAGGGTTAAGTTCAAATGAGAACATTTAATGTGAGAACATGAGAACACTCTTTTATGTTAATATTTTACTATGAATTTTGTATATACAACGATATGATATTATTCATCAACAAATATACGAACAATCAAACATTAAAATTCGCATTAAAATTTTGTATGTACAACTTTATGATATTATTCATCACCGAATATATGAACAATCACATATTTAACATTCACATTAGAATTTACTAAATTACTATATATATATATATATATATATATATATATATATATATATATATATATATATATATATATATATATATATATATATAGAATAAAAACACTATTTAATGTGAGAACGTGAGAACACTATTTTATGTAACTATTCTACTATGAATTTTGTATATACAATGATATGATATTATTCATCAACAAATATACGAATAATCACACATTAAAATTTTGTATGTACAACTTTATAACATTATTCATCACCAAATATATGAACAATCACATATTTAACATTCACATTAGAATTTACTAAATTACTACACATATATATAATTTTTATAGTTGAATAGCAATATAAAATTTAATATATTCATATTATAATTACTACAATACTATACATATTAAATTCATTGTAGAATAGTAACATAAAGTAGTGTTCTCACGTTCTCACATTAAATAGTGTTCTCATTTGAATATATATATATATATATATATATATATATATATATATATATATATAATTTTTGAAACCTTTGAATGTTAATTGCATGCATTTAAAGATAAAAAACTTATTGTGGAAAATCTTTTTTGTTATTAACGATCTGGTGTGAATGATCATTTTTTTATGTTTTGACGTATTACACTAAACTTAAATCAAATAATTTTTAATATAACGTCGAATTTATTTTATTAAAGTGATACATCATATTTTTAATTTAAAAGAGAGGATAGAACATGTATTTTTATAAGATATTTGGGTACCCTAAAACGGAATAAAGATTTCGTTATAAATTGTTGTAAACCCAATAAAACATCCAAAACCTGACGGGAAAACCTAAAACCCAATAGGATGTCATGATAAGATACCCGAAAGATATGGGTACGGGTTTAAGAAACCATGCCCTGCCCCAAACCTTCCCGTTGCCATTCCTAGGAGGCCCTCTGTTTTTCTTTCTTGCAAGTATTATTATTGTTTAAATTCATTTGAAAAGAAATATGTTTATTAATAGAGTCTTAAAGCCACAACCCAATTGTAGAACTAGGAAATTCTTATGTAGTTCGCTACGTAGGATCTAACAACCGTTATATCTTATTCTCTAAACTAGGCGAATGCTCGCGAGTTGCGCACAAGCATCTATATAATTGAAATTTTTGCACGTTTTTTTAAAAATATAATAATAATGTTATTGTTAAATTTGATATAATAATTCGTATACTAAGGAGATATAATATATTGATTATTTTGAAGAGTAAATTACACGAATGGTCCCTATGGTTTGGGGTGATTTGCGCGCTTGGTTCCTAACTTTTTTTTAACTCGGAAGGTCCTTACTATTTGTTGTTATTATGCGCTTTGTCCATACTGTTTGTTTTTGTTACACGTTTGGTCTCTGTCTTACCTAAAAAGACTATTATCTAAATAAGGAAAAATTGTGGGGTAGTTAAGTTAAGGTGAATGGGTGGGGTTGGGGTGTGTTTATTTAAATAAATCAGAAAATCAACGGAAAAATAGTCTTTTTAGGTAACACAGGGACCAAGTGTGTAACAAAAACAAATAGTAGGGACCTTCCGAGTTAAAAAAATAAGTCAGGGACCAAACACACAAATTACTCTAAACCATAGGGACCATTCATGTAATTTACTCTATTTTGAATTATATGATAATATATACATCTATTAAAACTATATAATCTCAATCTTTTGAATGACCTCTACCCGCGGGTTACTCATGAATAAAGTATAATATAATATATAGTTTAATGTTATTTATAATTGTAGTTATTATTAATTAATTTTTTAAAATTTATTTGCTTAACGTTTTAATTTTTATCATTGTAATTATTTAAAACATCAAACAATTTTTTTTATTTTAAAGGTGACAATATAATCATTTACATAGAGTTATTTTTAACTATTGATGTTGTAAGTTATTTAAAGATACTTATTTGAAAACTTTTAACGATTGTAAAAATATCTTTAGGAAATATTTTAGTTAAATTGATATTATAATTTAGGTTTTGCATTTAGCACTACAATTTATCATTTTTAACTATTTATAAAATATTCTTTAGGTTTTTTAAGTGGAACTGAAATTTATATTGAAGTTAACCTTATAATGTTATATTTAAATTAACAATTTAAGTATTTTTTTCCAAATTGTTCAAAAGTTGTAGCTTTAAATTGATAATGGTTTATATACAACAACATATTAAATCTAATAAATTAAGTATAATATGTTAAAAGGTAAAGACATAACTTTATAAGTAGAAGTGAAAATATTATTTTATTAAAATTTAGTTTATTTATGATTACACTTTAGGTTTGATATTTATTTAACCTTATTAACCAACTTATAATCATTATTATAAAGATACTACAATTTATCACTTTTAACTATTAACAAAATATTCTTTAGGTTGTTGAAGTTGAAGTAAAATTTATATTTAAGTTGATCCTATAAAATTATATTTAAATTAACAATTTAAGTATTTTATACAAATTGTTCAAAAGTTGTAACTTTAAAATGATAATGATTTACCTACAAAAACATATTAGACCTAATAAATTAAGTATAATATGTTAAAAGTTAAAAACACAACTTTATAAGTAAAACAAAATATATTCTTTTAATATTGGAATTTAGTTTATATATGATTATACTTGAGGTTTTATATTTATTTAACCTTATTGACCAACTTATAATCATTATTAGAAAGTAACTGAAAACTCATGGGAGTTTCAAATGAATGTGATGAAAGTAAAAATAAATGGGAATTTCAAACGAATGTGGTGAAAGAAAAAATGTTAGATTTATAAGTATACTAGACAAATTTTCGCACGTTGCGCGGGCAGGTTAAAAATATATTATTAGAATATAGTTTTCAGACACCTTTTAGTTAATTTGATTCGTCAATTTAGGTTCTTTTATTATTATTATATTTAATGTTTTCCTTTTAACTTTGTTAAAATATATATATATATATATATATATATATATATATATATATATATATATATATATATATATATATATATATATATATATATATATATATATATATATATATATTGAATTTTTTTTAACATTATTTGATATTTTACTTTAGGTTTTAAATTTTACACTAAATTTTTAAGCTTATTTGATATATTAATGTAGGTTATTTATTTAACTATATATTGAAGTTAACAAAATTAAGTATATCATATTGATAAGTCATAAATTCCTCCATTTATGATAATGTTTACAACTAAAAACATATTTAAGTTAATAAATTAAGTATATTGTATGGAAATATGAAAAGTTGGGAGTTTCAAATGAATATGGTGAAAGAAAAAATGTTTTCTTTATAATACAGTATGATATGATGATTGTAGTTTTAATTTTAAGTCATTGTG